GAAAAATGTAGGCGGTCTAGAGTTATGTGTTTATATTGTGATTATGAATGATTTTGTTTTTCTCCCTGTTCTCACAGAAATTTCCTGTAATTTCCAAGTTGTCTACAGTAAGCATATATTAATTTTTTAAAGACAATATTACCAAATTAGTTTTATTTTTTAAAATGTGTTTACACTTTGGCCCTGTGAACCAAAGGGTCGCTAGTTCAATTCCCAGTCAGGGTGCATGCCTGGGTTGCAGGCCAGGTCCCCAGCAGGGGACGTGTAAAAGGCAGCCACACACATTTCTCTTTCCCTCCCTTCCCCTCTCTATAAAAATAAATAAATAAAATCTTTTTTAAAAATGTGTTTACACTTTGAAAGGGGCCAAGTAAGCAGTTAACAGGTCTGTAACAGATAACCTGGCTTGGTGTTTGCAAAATAAATTTAGTACTAAGGAAAATTTTTAGTATAATAAAAACCACATACACATACTTGATTTACTATTAATATCTGCTTTCCTTCCCTTTCCTAGCTAATTACAAATATTTACAAGTTCTCCTCAAATAGATAAAAACTAACTCAATAAACTCTGCACTCTCTTGGTCATGCCTCCTGGTTGTCCCTCTCACACTGCCTCCCTCTGTCTCCCTCTCCAATTTATCCTAGGTCAGCCCTTCTCTCTACACCTCTGATTACTCCTTTCTAACTCTTAACTGCTTCCATCTGACGTCCCTCTCAGTTTGACTTCTCTCCTATCTCTAACTGACCCTCCCTCTCTGACTACTGTATGTGTTTTCTTTCGACTCTTATCAACTGTTACCCACCCTTTTCTAAGACATTCTTGTTAATTTTTCTCACTAAACTTTATAAACAAGAAGGGTATGTATTATTTTCCCTATTTTATAGATGATAAGGGAACACAAACAGGACTACCTGTACAAATTTCAGAGGTTAGAAAGGTGAGGATTTAAATTCAAGCGCTTCCTTTCTGTGAAACACTTCTGGAATTCCATGGCAAAGAACCTGAAACAGTCCAACTGCAGGCCAATGGTAACAGTTCATGTCGTCTTTTCTAAGAGGCAAATCACATATTAAGGAGTACCATACATCTTTTGCTCATATTTTTGCCTCTGCACCAAGTTAAATGGTTATGAACTATCAGTCATTTGACCATTCCAGAAAACCATACCATAATAGTCACAGGTTAACCTGTGTTATTTGGGAACCTTACTAGACACCAGAACCTGTTGTTTCCAACAATGCTTTCCTGCTTCTCCATTTTTATCCCTAGTCAAAAACCAGCCATGTTTGACATTAAAAAAAAGAAAGAAAGAAAGAAAGATACAAGAGGAACAACAAAAATTTATAAAACTGAAGGGCTAACAAGAGACAGTGAAAAATACACACCATGGACTGGGAGCAACTGGTCCATGTTTCTTTGAAAGAAGAGAAAATCCTCTCCAAACTCAATCCTACTGTTGCTAAGCAGCACCTCTTCTATCTAAAGCTCTGACAACTGGAATTTCTCTGTAATTCAATAAGCTCTTTGGAGTTACCCAGGCTTCATCCATCCTGCTGGGCACATTTATGAAGAACTCTGTTTTCCTCACTAAGAGCACATTTTGCGGTGGGCAGCACAGGAGTAGGGTTCTCTTTCAAGATATGAGTAGCCTAGTGCCATTTCTGCTCACTTCTCCTATGGGTAGGAAGTCGGCAACAAACACAACAACTAAAAGAAATGTCTAAATTATAGTTCAGATTAGTGGTCATCAAAGTCATTGTGTAAGTAACCAGTTCTATACATGTGAGGGTTAGTCTTGTATGTTTACAATCTTATAATTAAAAATTTGTACTTTTACATTCAGCACTAGTTCATTTACTTCTATTAAGTACAATGATTGTGTGACTGCCAAATCAACAATATAGAAGTCTTATTCATTCTGGTGAGATATTTTGTGAAGAGTCTGCTTATGGAACTAATGAGGACAGGGTCACAGATTCAAACATGTTGGCCAATTAGCTTTGCTGTGTTTCAGGGTTCAACAGTCACAATCAACAACCTTAACCTTGTATAAAAAAAAAACAAAACACACTGATCACATGAAGCACCAGGAGGAATGAATATAGATGTATCACCAAAATCCATGATTATCAGAAAAATATAATAAAATTGAAAATGATAACACCACTATCAATCTTTTACTAAGTCTGGCTAGTATGTACTGAGTTCAATCTAATCTTTCCTGTCATGCAGGTTGGTATTATTATCCCCGTTTTACAGATCATGAGAAAATGAACTCAGAATGATTATATAAACCAAAGTTACAAAATTAGTAAGCAGTAAAGCCTGGGTTCAAAACTTGGTCAGTCTGACTCCAAAGCTTAGGTTATTTCCACAACACCAGGCTGTCTCTCCAGAGCTTGCCTTAGCGACACAGGACAATCAACAAAATGTTCTTAACCAGAACTATTCAGCACAGTCATCACTAATCGAGCCTTTGCTATGCACACTTAGATGCCAGAGATGAAAATGAGTCTACTTTCCAAAAACTTCTTTTAAGTAAAAAACAGCCAAGGAACAAAACTATTTAAAACACACAAAAAATAAAAAAACAATTACAGCACACAAAGTAGATTTTAACTAAAGTGATTACTGTTATAGTTTGTATACAAACCTGTATCGAAAAAAATTCATGACTGATGGTAAGAATGAAACTGACAAAGGAGAGCCAGGGGGATACCACATTAGTAAAAGTGAGTAAAGGAAACATTTCCTAAACATCTGAATATGCCAAATTCTCGAGGTCAACAGGCTGAAGGGACTTAAACATTTCACTTCTTAACCCAAAGACTCTGCTTTAACTAACAAGTCAACTTTCAGTATTAGGCTTTCTCCTAGATATTGTTCAATTTTCATGCCTTGCATCCACACAAACCAGTGCCACTATCGGCATCAGTCACTAAGTTTCCACTTTGAAAAACTGAGGTAACCCCTGAATGGATTAAAAAAACAAGACCCTTATATATGCTGCCTATGCAAGACACACTTCAGATCAAAAGACACACAAACTGAAAGGGATGGAAAAAGATATTTCATGAAAATGGAAACAATAACAAGAAAAAGCTGGGATAGCAACACGTAATATCAAACAAAATAGACTTTAAAACAAGAGACAAAGAAGGATCCAGCAATTCCACTTGTGGACACTTAAGAAAATAAAACTCCTAATTCAGAAAGATATATGCACCTCTATCTTTACTGTAGCATTATGTACAATAGCCATGATATGGAAGCAACCTAGGTGTTCATCAATAGATGAACGGATACTGGATGGATACACATACACAGGAATATAATTCAGACATGAAAAAGAATGATCTTGCCATTTGCAACATGAACAGATCTAGATGGTATTAGGTTAAGTGAAATAAGTCAGACAAAGACAATTACTGTATCATTTCACTTATACATAGAACTACACAAATGAACAAAGGACTCACAGACACAGAAAAACTGATCAAGTGCCAGAGAGGTGGGAGCATGGGCAAAAAGGTAAAGGGGATTAAGAGGTACAAACTTACTATAAATAAGTCACAGGGAAGTAAAGTACAACAGAGGGAGTACAGTCAATAATATCACAGTAACTTTGTATGATGACAGATCGTTTCTGGACTTTTTGTGGTGATCACTTTGTAAGGTATATAACTATATTGTATGCATATACCAACTAATATAATATTGTACAGCTTTACATTAAAAAAAAATGAGGTCACCCAAATTTTCTGGACCCTACCCACTAGGTTGAACTTTGAGTCAAATAGCCTAGCTTAAAAAAAAGGGATGGGCAGTATGGATAGGACAAAAAATTGTTCTATAAAATTCTGTCCTAGTCAATCAATAGTCAATATCTAAGTCATAAACACAGATAATTGTTCTACTACAAGCTACAATGTGCAGACAGAAAACTACATTATTACTACAAGTTATAAATGAAACAGCACATCCCAATAATCTCACAACAGCATTCTGGAAACCTCTAAAAATCAAAAGCAGCGTAAACATAACCTTTACATAAAATGCAATAATAGTCTGAAAAAAGACCCACACTATCTGAGAACTTGATTACAGTTTTTTAAGTTTATGGGTTAACTATCCTCATACAAATAAAAAGGACTCCCAAGAAAATAATTTTATCTTTTTTTACCATCATTGTCATCAAACATAACAACAGAACACAAAGGAACCTCAGTTCTTGAACTTATTTTGTCCCGAGAGGCTGTTCAAGAAACGATCTGTTGGAAAACCGAATGTCCTTGACGCCTGAGAGACACTGGGACCGACTCTACAGCAATGGGCAGGAAAGGGTTGTCCGGTCGAGAACCGATGTTTTGTTGGACAACCCAGGGATTCTTCCGTGAACAACTCAGTCAAGAACTGAACTGTTTGAGGTGGGAGACATTCGAGAACTGCGGTTTGACTCCAAGCACTACTTAGCTGTTTTATATTCATATCTCACTTCACCTCTATAGACCCCTTGTGAGGTAAATGCTATTACCTCCGTTTTAGAGACTAGTAAAGTCTTAGAAATCAACTGATTTCCCAAAAGTCATAAACTGTAAGTCACAGCACCGGGATCTGAACTCAGATTTGTTCAATTTCGTACATTCAACTAATTCACTGCACTGCCAACCTCTTTGTTTTCAACCAATGATTTCAGAGTAAATACAAGTGAAGGTTACCTAACTCCCACTGTGTAGTGTGTCTGTGTTGGGGGAGAAAAGTGTCCAAATTCTGGTAGACCTCAAAATCCAGACAAAGCGTAAAACTGACTCCACAGGTGGTAGGTAGGGCCCTGATACCACCTCTTCACCAGGATCATGGCCTAAGAACATCTGTACGACTCACATTCTTTTCTAAAGTCACTTCCCCCTGTTCATTAACTCATTTCATCTTCATCAAGATCATGACCACGTTCACGTTCACAAAGACATGAATGTGACTATAAAGTTCCACTGACCTGGACTTAAGACAGAAGAATACGGTTATAATTGAAACATGCTTTCTCACACGTATCACTCACGGTGAAGCCCATGACACTGCCAGGCGGACAGGCCGAAGGCCACCACACTCATTTTTCAAAGACGGAAGCCGGGGCGGCGGTAAAGGAGCTACAGAAGATCCCAGGTCCAGCAAGCGTTAGACCTGAGACACTTCCCCCGCAAGCCATCAGGCACCAAACCGTGCGGTTCTTCCCCTACTCAAGTCTGAGAGGCGGCTAAGTAAAACTTTAATAATCGGACAAGGGGTTTCCCGAGGACCTCCCAAGAATACCAGGAAGTGTATTATCCTCCCGCATAGACTACTCACCCCAAGCCCATAGCCCTGGGGCTCCCGGGCAGCGGAGCGGACTCACTTAAAAGGCTCGCGGCCCGGAAATCACCCACAGGCTCGGGGTCGGCTCGGGGCAGCCTCGGCGGCCCACAGCCCCGTACCGTACCCCTGAGTGGCCAAGGGCCCGCTCAGTACCTGTTGAAAGCCAAGGAAGGAACGTCCCTTCCACAGGGAGTATTTGGGGTGAGGACACTCAGTGAGCACGCTGTCCCTGCCAGAGCAAAAACGCCCCAGCAGGGCACCACCCGCGACCCCCGACACCGCCAATCCCTCAGGGGTGGAAGGGCTGGAGCTTCCCAGTAACCTCCGCCCCAGGCGGGGATCCGCCCCGCGCGTCACGTGAGGGAAAAAAAAACTACCGGTAACAAACGAAATCAGAACTCCCATCTCAGGTGTGAGGGGAGAAAGGAACGCCAAAAACACCAGCTTGAAATGCGGAGAGGGTAAGGAAGGAGGGAGGAAGGGAGGGAGAGACAAGACGCAAACTGGTAGTTACCGGGAGCGCCGTCGCTCTCTGCTTCCGCCGCCTTCTACTAGATCCTGCTATTTGCTCTTCCGCTCGCACGGAGGGGAGCGCGCCAGGCCTCGACTCCGCCCCCCAGCGCCGAGGAGCCTTCTGGGGGCTGTAGTCCCGGCCGAGCTGGCTGCATACTGGTCACGTGGGGGGAGGGGCTGGCAAAATGAAGATGTGAGAAAGGTGTTTACGCTCCTGTGTCTGCTCTACCGTGCCCCCTTCACTTCATTTGGAAAAGTACTCAAATCCTTCACGACCCACTCAATCATACCATCTCTCTTCTTGACAGCCAAGTTTCTTGAAAAAGGTAGTCTAAACTCGCTGTCTCCTCTTCCTCCTTCCTTCTTTCTCTGCGCTGCAGTTTCTGCCGCCACAGAAAATGCCCTTGGTGTCATCAGTGTCCTTGTTGCCAAATTCATCAGAGGTAGTTCTGGGTCCTCCAGCTTAAGCATTAGGCACCGTTTGACACTGTTGGATGTTCTTAATCACTTCTTTTCTGTCACTAGTCCAGTGTTCCTTCTCCCTCTCCATCTCCAAGAATTCTTTTTCTAACCCACCTCTTATACAGGGTTCAGCACAAATAACACACCTTTTTTCTTACAAAGTCTTTTATTACAAAATCATAATCATGTAATCTGTAACATAACATAATCATGTAACATAACAATATCACAATCAAGCACACCATATCACATTTTAGGTAAAATGTTCAAATTAAAACTATAAATTATTACACCCGTATTATTACCCTACCAAGAGCACTCAAGCAGGCGTTACATCTGCTGGACGCTGTATATTATTAGTGTTCTCCAGAGTCATTAGTATTGCAGTGGAGGACGGGAGGCTCCTGACCCTTCTGTTTTGAATTCTTTGTATTTCCAGCTTCATTGACTGACCCTTCCTCATCCATGGGCCACAGGCATTTAAAATGTAGCAAGTTCAAGTTTTCACTCCAACCTTCAACCTCGATTCCTCCCTCTCTCTCATTTTCTCTACTACCCATGCCCAAATAGTCACCAAATCTTGTAGAATTCATCTCCAAAGTAGTTCTTGAACCTCTTCCTTCTTCATACCCACTGCCAGTGATTTAACTCAGACCTGCATTATTTCTTACTTGATTACTACATGGTCTTCCTCACTGGTCTCAGCGCCTCTATGGACTCCTCCTTTACTACCATCATGCCCCTTTATGCAAAGGAAAAGTTTAATCATGTCGCCCTTTGGGTAAAGTCTTATTTGATTAAATTTGGGGAGAGGAATAGAGGTGAATCCTTTGGAGTGGCTTTTGCAACATATGGAAGCCATCCCTACTACTGTTACAGAGCAGAGCCAAGCGGGGGTGGTGCGATATACTATTACTGAAAGGACCCCCCACTAGGTTTGCTATGCCCACTGCCAAAGGAAAAACATCTCTCAATGCCAGAGATTTGTGAAAAGGAAAGGAAATGTTTCTTTAAAGCTAACAGACTTAAAGTAGTGACCCAATGTCTTCATTAAAATATTAAAGTCTTTTAGGATACCCCCCCCCCCACACACACACACACACACACAGTCCTTCCTTCTCCCTCTACCCTAATCTGGAGCACCATATCTCAGGAAAAGAAGCAGAAGTCCGTGATTGAATCTCCCAGAACCATCAGCTGTGTCACCGCCAGGATCTCCAGCTAATCCAAAGCCATGTGGCACCTTCTCATGGCCCACCAGCAAGACTACTTTCACCCTTTTTCTTCCAGGCAAAATCTCTCCTGCTTCCTAAGCCGCGTGGCAAAAGGGAGCACCCCAAAGCCACATGGTCCTCACTCTCACTAAAGCCGCATGATTCTCTCTCCAATGGCTGCCGAGTCTGGATTTAAATCCCCGAGCCAATCTTCTTCTGCAGCCCCATTTCCAACTCCTCCTACAATCAGTTGCACCTGCCAGCATTCTGGTATCCTTCCAGCTTTCCTTGGCTGCCATAGTGAATATGGGCCGGCATGGCCCCATGGCATGGAGCCAATGATCTCCAAGCTCTCACACAGGCTCTGTAACCAGGGGCAGTTGCCTCCTGGTTATATCTTGGGTGGAAGTCACTTCCATATCCCTGGCTCAAAGCCTGGCCACAGCTATTTAACGTATCTGGGAAACCAGTTAAAGGTTATAGATATGTTAAATGACCATGCCAGAGGTTAGCTGCAAAGCTGTTGCTATGCAAAACAGCTCTCAATGGCCCTGCTCCATGTGTCCCTTCCCCCAACTCAAACCTGTAGCGGGGGAGAGGTGAGGACATCCTATATATTTTTCTAATATTTTCTGGACACCTAGAGTTGTGGACCCCATTCCAAATCCCTATTTGGGGCCCCCCCTCTTGGCTGCATCCTGTTACACCACCCCCCATATTGTGGTTGGAGGGTTCAGAGAAAAGAGATTTATAGTACATCTTATTGTGAGGTTGGTAGGCATGGGAATTCTTTTTTAAAATTTCTCAGATGAATCAATTATTCAACAAGGATGTATTTTGCTGCCTGCTATATAGGTACCAGGCATGTTCTGGGTATCGAGAAAATTTCAAACAAGGCAGTCCCTGCCCTTGTGGAGTTTACAGTCTCTTGGAATAGACAGATTTTAATCAAATGACTCCATACTGAACACAAAACCAACAATAACAACAAAAACCTACAATTACCAGCTGTGACAAGAATTATACAAGACTGGTAATCCTTCTCTTTCCCTTTCACATTGCCACCTGCCCCAGCCCAGGAACAGGTCTGCGTTCCTCAGCCTGTCAAACACAGCTAATCTCCTTCCACTCCCTCCCTTACACATCTGCATTACCGAACTGCTGTGTTGCATTTGCTCTCTCACTTTTGCACAAGCTCTCCCTCTCTTTGGAAAACCCTTCCCTTTCTCCCTTGACTAACTTTACCCTATGTTACTCTCTTTCAAAGTAAACCTGGTAGAACACAGTCCTCATAGAAGGATTTTCTGAGGATTGGACTGAGTCAGGTGATAACTCCCAGTCCAGCAAAGGGGAGCTGAGTAGGTAAGCCAAGAACAATTGAATGTGCACTACTGAGAGAAGGGCTGTGTTAGCCAGTTCAGAGGTATCTGAGCCAAAACACCCATCATCCAAAGCAGATCAAGTATTACCTTCTCCAGGAAGCCTTCGCTGAGCTCTCCCAGGATGAACTATTGCCTCTTTCCTGGGTACTCATTGCACCCATGTTGACCTTTCTTCCACTGATATACCAGAGCCAGCTCACACCAACATTAAAAAGCAAGTTTAAACTCTTAGGAATTTTGCAAGTCAGTTCTTAAACCATTGGTAGCTTGAAATCAGCTGTGATGGAAGTATTTACACCATGTGGAAATCAGCAAATGAGAAATTAGGACTTTTTTTTTTTGAGAGTCAGTTTACCAGGGCACCACTGCCTTTGTCATAACACCCACTCCTTCACTGTATTGTGGTGATGCATCTCCTATTAGATGAGTTCCTTATAACCATTTCATTTAGCAAATATTTATTATTATGCACCAGAGACTAGCAAGATGCCTGAGGGGTATACAGCAGAGTACAAACAAGCATGGTCCCTACTATTATGGCACTTACAATCTAGCAGATAAGATGGAAAATAAACAAAGAACTCTATACTTACAAATTGAGCCAGGCTGCTTTATGATAGAACATCCTGGCAATGAGGGGTGACGGACACTAGAGAAGGCCTCTCTGAGGTGGTGACCTTTCCACTGAGCACCAAAGGATTAGAAAGAGATTAGTCCAGAGGAGAACCGGGGGGAAAGTGTTCCAGCCAAAGGGATCCTGCTATACAAAGAAATAGCTGGGCTGTTTGAAAGACAGAATGGTCACTTTTGCTGGGATGGTGTGATCATTAATTTTATGTGCCAACTTAACTGGGCTATGGGGTGCCCAAATTAAACATTATTTCTGGGTGTGCCCTTGAGGATGTTTCCAAGTGGGAATAGCATTTGAATTGGTAGAATCGGTAAAGTACAGTTGACTCTTGAACAACACAAGGGTTAGGGACACCAATCCTTGTGCAATGGGAAATCCAGGTACAGCTGTTGACTCCCCCAGAATTTAACTGTAGTCATCTCCCTCAGAATCCACAGGGAATTAGTTGCAGGACCTTCCACAGATAACAAAATCTATGGATGCTTAAATCCCTTATATAAAATGACATAGAATAATGCATACAATCAGGCCCCCATCCCATATGTTCCCAACCACAGATCAAAAATACTGTTTCTGATCTGTGGCAGTTGAGTCTACAGATGCAAAACCTGGGAATAAGTTTAGGAGGATAACTCTGTATTTATTTATTTTTGTAATCTGCATATCAGTGGCCCCATGCAGTTCAAGCCCATGTTGTTCAAGGGTCAACTGTAGTCTGCCCCCCTCTCTGATGTGGCTGGGCATCATTCAATCCACTGAGGGCCTGCATAGAATAAGAATCAGGAAAATGGAGGATTCAGTTCCTTCCTGCTTGTCTGCATGAGCTGGGACATTTGTCTGTTGGTCTTCTCCTGCAGTTGCACTGGGATTTACCCCATGGGCCCCTGTGGTTCCTGGTCCTTTCAACTCAGACTGGAATTACATCACCAGCTTTCCTGGGCCTTCAGCTTGCAGACAGTAGATTGAGGAACTGTAACTGGAAAAGACACCGGCATTCGGGCTGCCTGTCACTATCAAATCCAATAAGCAGTGACAATGATTGAGTCTTTTATAGGCACTTTATTCAGATGGCCAGTGATCCGAGAAGATGGCGAGTTCATACCCTAACA